AGGAAGAGGATGTTGGGGCGGTGTCGCCTGCGGCGCGGGGTCAGCCTCGAGGTCATCGTGGAGGAGGACGACACGGCGGAGGTCACGCTGGACCCCACGCCGCTCCCGGAGGAGGACGATGACGACGACGACGAAGAAGAGGATATCGACAGCGAGCATGGTGGGTCATGCGGAGATTTTCTTCATTTTCTTATTATCTATTCAGTTGGATGCCAGAGGTGGCGATATAATCCAGTCTTTTAAATGCACAAGGTGAGCAAGCTCTGGCTGCTTCATAGGAACAAGATTAAGACAACTATAATAAGCTTTTGCAGCGGAGGCAAGCCTCCTTCCCCAGATCTCGCCACCTGGAACATAGCTATTAACATTACCAATGCTGTGACCCTCATGTGTGCCAACCAAATCCACCCATTTTAGAGCAGTACATTCAGCCAGCAATCCCTCCCCCGAAGCCAAAAAATTATTAGAGGCTTTAAATGATGCCTGCGCGGCTGCCGCCCCAGGATGCCTCCATCAACACTCCACAGCGGCAGTGACTAATGCCGCCATTGAAATGCACTCGCGCTTTCTGCTGCAGGCGCCAGAGGGTCGGCTCCCAGCTCCCCCCGGGGAAGAGGCGGCGAAGGAGGGGGGGAAGCCACGGCGGCGGAGGAGAGGAGGCGGAGGAGGGAGAGGCGGAGGACAATTGGCGGGTTGTCAAGGATACGATCAGTGTCGTGTGAAGCCCTCACCCTCCTCGACACAAGGTGAGGATACTCTGCTTTCTTCCTTAGTTGAAAAGTTGCACGAAAACTCTCGCGAGTCGAGGCATTCCAGGAGGCGACGAGCACTCTTCCCCGAAATGGAATCGCCCTTTGGAAATTTCGTCCCGCCATATTCTGCTCTGAAAGGATTTTATCAATATTGCACTTGAGGCTGATCCGGATTAATGCGAAAGGTCAACGGATCACGGTCTGGAAAAAATATTTTTCAATAGGCTTCCCATAGCGTGAACGTTCCGGGACCAAACTTTCCCTTTGTTCGCCTCGAAACAACTATCTCCATTACTTTGGTAGATCACGTCTGCATATGTATAAAACCGATAGGCATTTAGATAGATAAATACATACACATGGCATTCATCTATGGATGCATGTATTCACATGTATATAAAACACGCATTTGCATTTATACAAAACACATGCATTTATATATGGAAAAATGCTAGCATTCCCTTGCACACATCGTGCATACTTTTTTGTGGACGAAATGCACTCGCAAACATAGACAACCGATATATCACATGCGCTTTAAGTTCAATAACTTTTTTGAGTTCTCGTCCCTGTTAATCATCTTCTAATGATCCCGAATCACAAAGAACAAAGTCCCTCCTGCAACGGAATGCAAGCGAGCCGATCAATCTGTCCCCTTCACCAACTTTTGAAGCCAAAGAAGAGCAAAATGCAAATTGATTTTTGAACATTGACGATTATAAAACCGTCAATTACTAAAAAAGTCAAATTCAAATAAGTGTAAAAGTAAAAAATGCAATGCAGATTTCAGCAGCGAATATTCAAATGCAAATCAAAGTTCAAACACTTGCGTAATTGAAAACATATTTTCAAGTGACCCCCGATTCGGGCAATTCTAGTCAACACGCTGCAACCAACTCATTCAACAACAATAATAATGAAAAAAATCCCACTGAAAAGGGAGAGAGAGTTCCACGTGAATTTACATAAAAGACAGAAACACATTATCGATCAATTCAAACAGAAAACGACAGTTTTTAATATGTTAATCTAATTTCTTTTTCGACTCTTTTTATTGTTGTACTTCATCCCAATTTTCATTTTTTTTTCCACTGGGAATAAAATCCTTTATGTTGTAGTGAATGTCGTTAATGAAAAACAGTTCTAATTTGCAAACACTCCATGGCCATACCTCGTCGCTATATTCATTCCACTGAAGTTGCATGCTCTTTCGATCGGATTTCGCGGAGGAATATTGTACTTGCTTCCTCGCCAGGATTTTTCTTCAGTGTACAATGACAACTTGATGGCGTATTTTTAATGTGAAGTAAACAACTACACCTATTTTTACAAGGCTGAAAAGGTGAAGGGTGAAGATATCCCCGCAAATGACGTCACCAACATCATTTCCACAATGTGCAGGGGCGGAAACAGCCTGGCCTTCTCTTTCATCTTTGGTGCGGCGCGCGTGATTGTTTTTCTCACAATATTTATCACCACCAGGTTACTCAGCCTTCATCATCCCCCAGGTTATTCAGCCTACACAAATTTGCATTACGGTAAAAGAGACACCCCTGGCTTGCTCTAGCCGCGTTCCTCTTGCTTAAAACAGCAAAGCACACATTGCAGCTCACGACTGGCTACAGTCCCGCACATAATCCTCGGCAACAGCCTCCTTTTATGCCTCTCTTTCTCTCTCCCATAAGCGCCTCTTCCCTCCCACTCAACATCGCTGGCGGGTGTCGATACCAGCAACTCTATCCCTACTG